GGCGGGCGGCGGGCGGCCTGCACCTGCTGCCCTGGGCCCGCGGCGAGCCAGGCGCTGCCGAGCCCTCTGCCTGCCTGGAAGCGGCCACCCGCCCCTGGCGCAGCCTGCGGGAGCGCGGGGAGGCTGTACCGCTGGGCCCTGGAGTGCCGGCCCTGGTGGCCAACGGCTTTCTGGCCCTAGACGTGGCCGCCAACCGACTGTGGGTGACCCCTGGGGAGCGGGAGCCCGCTGTGGCGCCGGACTTCTTGCCCTTCGTGCAGTTACGCCCGCTAAGCGCCCTGGCCGAAGCTGGAGAGGCAGTGCTGCTGCTGCGGGAGGGGCTGCTGCGCCGGGTGCGTTGCCTGCAGCTCGGGACCCCGGGACCCGGCCCTGCGGCCGCCGTCCCTGGACCGGCCTCGGCCTCCGGCCTTGCCACGGGGTCCGGCCGTGACTGCGTGCTACTGCAAGAGGACTTTCTGGCTCACCGGGGCCGACCCCACGTCTATCTGCAGCGCATCCAGCTCAACAACCCCACTGAGCGCGTGGCCGCGCTGCAGACTGTGGGGCCCACTGCAGGCCCGGTCCCCAAGGCCTTCACCAGTACGCTGGAGAAGGTCGGAGACCATCAATTTCTCCTCTACTCGGGTCGATCCCCGCCTCTTCCCACGGGGCTGGTGCACCTGGTGGTGGTGGCTGCCAAGAAGCTAGTGAACCGGCTCCAGGTGGCTCCCAAGACACAGCTGGATGAGACCATGCTGTGGGTAGTACATGTCTCCAACCCCATTAACCCCCAGGTGCTCAAAAGCAAAGTAGCCAAGGAGCTCAAGGTGCTCCAGGACTTGGCACGGAAGGAAATGCTGGAGCTCTTGGAGATGCCAGCAGCTGAGCTACTTCAGGACCACCAGCGCCTCTGGGCTCAGCTCTTCAGCCCAGGTGAGGCCTGGCAAGTGCTTTGTCCATAGTCCACATCTTGCACCAGGGTGTGCACAGTCCACCCTAGAGATGTCCCTTCAAGGTGTGTGCAGAGGTGACGCTGAAGGTGGTGGTGGAATGGTTAAAACAGGCTTGGCGTTTGACCAGGAGCCTGAATCTCTGCTCAGACACTTAGTATCTGTCTGGCATTGGATTAGTCACCTAATGTTTCTGGGCCTGTATTCAGTAATAACAACACCTACCCCAGAAGGCTTTTATGAGAGTTCAATGAAAAGTCTAGTTTAAAGGTCAGGTCTTATTGTTATTTGTTCTTGTAGGTGAGGCCTGATGTGAGCAAAGTAAAGTTTTTTTTAGGTTCAGTTCATAAAGAGTAAACCAGCAGGCAGATCCCCAGACTGTTTCCTCATGTCACCAGTCTGCCTGGTGACAGGTGTGGGCTTCCTGACATGACCCCCACTAGTCTGAGGTGTTCCCTGGCTATTGTGGCTGCAGTTTTTTCATGGGGAGGCTGGAGAATCTCTTCTATCAGCAGGTAGGAATGTTCCTGCCAAATGAATATTCTTTCCCCCATTGACTTTAATAAAAGAAAATCCTGCTGTAGATGAGAGAGGGGTTTTGGTTTGCAGGGTTCCTGTTGTCTGAACCCTTATATTTGGTTGCTCAGAGAGAGTTTAGTCCATTCAACAAGTATTTACTGAATGTTTCTGCCAAGGGGCTGCTCTCTGCATGGGGCATACAGAAGTGAACAAAACAAAGTTCCTGTTCTTATGGTGCTTGCATAAATTCTGGTTGGGAACGAGACAGATACCAGAATAGTGAAAATTTAATGAAGATAAATTTTGGGGGTAGAAAGTGCTGTGGAGAAAAGTTAAAAATATGTGATGGAAGGGCCGGCTGGTTAGCTCATTTGGTTAGAGCACCGTGTTATAACACCAAGGTCAAGGGAAAGGGAAAAGAAAAATGTGAGGGCTGGCTGGTTAGCTCAGTTGGTTAGAGTGCAGCCTCCTAACATCAAGGTCAAGGGTTCGGATCCCCATACCGGCCAGCTGCCAAAAAATAAAAGAAAAATGTGATTGAGAGTGATTGGTGTGGACAGTAAAAGTGTGGGGTGATGGGGCCTCGATTTAGCTCCAATTGTCAGGGAGGCCTCTGAACAGGAAACACTTAAGCCGTGACCTGAATGGCAAGAAGCAGCCAGCCATGTGATCTGGGAGGATGATGTTTTACGCCTGGAGACTGCAAGGGGCAAGAGCCAAGGCCCCATAGCAGGAGCAGGTTTGGCTGAGTGGCCAGTGTGGCCAGATCCTAAAGGACCTTGTAGCCCTTGGTGGGGATGGTTAGCAGAGGTGTGATTTGACATACATTTTTAAAAGATCTCTCTGGCTGCTCTGTGCAGAGTATAGACTGTAGCAAGGGCAAAAGTGGATGCTCGGAGACTAGGTAAGAGGTTTTAGCTGGAGTGAGAGAGGAAGGTGGCTGGGACCAGGGTTGTGACTTTGGAGCCAGAGAAGCCAATAGATCCTGCTACTTTTGGAGGCGGAGCTGCTGGGACTTACTATGGGTTGGCTGTGGGCATTGAGACCTTGAGGATGACTGCTGGATTTGGGGGGTGTGACCAGTTGCTTGGAGACAACTTAGGGAAGGCTTGGTTTGAGGCTGGAAGAGTTCAAACCATGTCAGGTTTAAAATGTTGGTCAGATGTTCAGGTGCAGACACCAAGCAGGAGATTAGCTGTTTGAGTCTAGAATCTATACAAATTTGGGAGATAGCTGTATGTACCCTATGTATGTATGTATGATACCTAAATTCATGAAAAGTTGGGAAGCGTCATTTAAAGCTACAGGACTGGAGAGAGAGATGATAGAGCCAGGGCATCTCATTGACAGTGTTCTGGTGCAGGGAGCCCAGACAGTAGAGGCAACAAGTCTTGGCTAAGTCTGTGTTCTTGCTCTGGCAGTAGGCCCCACTGCCTTTTTTTTTTTTTTTTTTTTAAAGATGACCGGTAAGGGGATCTTAACCCTTGACTTGGTGTTGTCAGCACCACGCTCACCCAGTGAACCAACCGGCCATCCCTATATGGGATCCGAACCCGGGGCCTTGGTGTTATCAGCACTGCACTCTCCCGAGTGAGCC